ATATATATATATATATATATTCTTTTTTTTTTTCATTTTGTTAAAATCATCTTTGATATCCTGAATTCCTGATCAATCCACGGAATCTTCTGTGTGCAGTGTGATTGTTGTTTTAACATCACGACTGGTCAATAAATTTTGGGTATTGTGTTTATCTGTAGTACTAATAGAAAAAAAAATAATTATAAACAAAACCAATCAATTTGTGACTATTCTTCCTTGGTTGAATTTTAGCCCATACTGGAACAAATCTGAATAGCTGAACTTTTCAAATGAATAGAAAGCGATACTGACAGCATCATTTGATATTTTATGTTAACCATCACATAGATTAGAGCGATACTTTAGATTTAATCGCGTAGTCAATTAGTTAAACACAACCATGACATAAATAAGAGCATTTTATAATCATTCACCCTTTTTAATCAATCAATAGATACAATAGGATATTTTACAAAAGTCCTCTGTTAATCTTAATTAGGATATAAATCTTTGTAACGACATTTTCATGTCAGGTAATGGGAATCATTTTTTTATTTTTTAACTTAAGAATCGATTTCCACATAAAACAAAGTATATATATAACAATCAATTCTAAGTACAGATTTCTTATTAAGAATCGATTTCCATACAAAAGTTAATAAGTGTTTAAAATCAAATCTAAAAAGTGGATCATTACTCTCTACACATTTAATAAAAGTAATAAGAAATAACTTTTTCATCAATTTGATGTGAATTTTGTTTAAACGTGAATCTGAACATGCATCCAAACATACTTTAATTCTCTTAAAAACTTAATCGATTTTTAACAACTATAATTTCTTTTGTAAATTTATATTAAATGATTTCAATATTGTCAATCATAACTTAGGTGTACATGCGATTCTAAGATCGACAAGATTATTCATAAATAATATAAGAATATTTATAAATATAAAAAAAAACATATTATTTATGTTCCGGAGGAGTTGGTGGAGAAAACAATTTCTATTGGTGCAAATAACGTATAGGTAAAGTATACGTTTTTGATGCTGATATTCATGTAACCATGCATTGTAAAATAACGAAGTGTCAGTGTGTAATTGATTCAATTTACATTTGGAAGAGAGTCCTTGGCGTGGAATTTGCACCTTTGGAGCATGCTAACCATTATGTGTTGTGTAAATTTGTATGAAAAAATATGCTAATGCTAGTGTCTTACTTCAAGTTACTATGGTCCAGACAATCTATACTTAATCGAGTTTTGTTAATGTTTTTTTTTTTTGTAAATTAAATTTTTGGGTTACGCGAGGTGTGGGGAATATCGTCAGGACTATGAATATCTTATTCTCAGGAGACAATGAGCGAGTTTCACGGTCGATTTGTTAATTAAGTTTTAAGGTAATTAATTTAAAGAATGTCCGACTCATCCTCACAATGTGGCACCCATGAAGTTCTTTTAGTTTATTTCCTGATGGAATTTTCTCTGTTTATACATTCATGGAGACTCCCACGTTCCTACAACAATATTAAAAAAGAGGGCATGATATAGCTTTCTTGAGTTCTAAGTTCTAACTATGTCGCTATCAGTCTGTAATCATTAATTAAAAGACCTATTAATCACAATTAGTCTTCTTTCAAAGATTAAGCTTAAACCCCCAATTAACTTTTCGGTGTCAGTTTCAAGTTTTGTAGAGTCTACGGTGTTTGAAGTTAGATTATAGTAAATTATCATGGCATGTACTTTAGTTCCCCTATGAGTTGTCTTGTGTCTGGCATTGGCCCCCCACAGAGGACTCCTGAGTTAGCCCCAGGAAACTAGGACTAACCTTGACAATGACTACAAATTAAAATGTGATTTGCAAAGGAAATTAAGCCTAGTGAAATTGGATATAAATATGTCTCAAGTTTTGCTGATGCGGCAATCACCAATTAGCTTCTAAGCATATAAGAAAAAAAATAAAAAATGGGACCTCTTGGTCTTGAAGCCTTCCCTGATGGAGAATGGGATTGCTTTGGCAAAATGTTGGCCAATGAAGCCCATTATTCCTCTCCACAACATGATGGGAACATGTTTTGCGCCACTCATGATGCTGGGGGAAATAGGAGATTGTTTTACTCTTTTGATTCTCACAACTCTAATTTTCAGCATATTTCTAGCAATAGCAATATTAGTGGCTATAATGTCTTCATTGATCATGTGCCTTTAGAAGAGAAAATAAACTCACATGGGCATTGTAACAAAAAACCACGTCTTTCAAAAGATGTAAGCATTGTCTATATGACCTTAACTCTGTTTAACTTTAACTTCAATTTGGATATGAATTTGTAACAGCTTGTGTGTGTGGCTTCCAACTTCAGGTGCAACATTGCATGAACAACCAGAAGCTAGACAAAAATGGAAATGAGGCAGAAGAGACTAATGGAAGTTGTTCTTCTAGTAGTCACACTTACACCCCAGAGGATGATAATGCTTCTGCTCTCAGCTTAAAAGGGAAAACAAAAGCAACAGATCCTCAGAGTCTTAATGCAAGGGTAATTTTCTTGAAATACAATTTCTCTCTTGCTTTTGGTGGATTCAAGTTGTGATGCAATAGTATATCATAACTTACTGTCTGTTTTGAATCTTAAAGAAAAGAAGAGAGAGAATAAATGAGAGACTGAGAATTCTACAGAATCTTGTCCCCAATGGAACAAAGGTATGTAATTTTTTAGCAAATGATTTTCATTTTAAGGGATTTTGGTAGGTGTGGGAATATGCAGTGTATTGGAGATGTAACAAAAGATTAATTTGATGGATGGTCACGCAGGTTGATATAAGCTCTATGCTTGAAGAGGCAGTCCATTACGTGAAATTTTTGCAGCTCCAGATCAAGGTAATATAATAGGAAGACTAATTTAATGAAATTGACTTGTGATTATTATCATCTTAGGGAGATTTTAGACAATGGAACTAACTATTTTTGGGGTGAAAATTAATGTTTTGTAGCTTTTAAGCTCTGATGATTTGTGGATGTACGCTCAGATAGCTTATAATGGACTTGACATTGTACTCAATCTCACTCAGAAGAGTTCTCCACCTTTGTGAGCTTATACGTTGTTCAACAATTGAACGGAAAATAACCTCTTCAGAAAGTGAAATTGTATGTATTTGTTGTTCAAACTAGGACATTATAGTGGTTCTGGAAATGGTGAAATTGGCATCGGAGATTGAAATAATTAATGGCTATATTTTGCAAAGGGAATTGGGGATTTTGTGGAGACTTGAAGACATGAAAAGGAATGGTTGATAGATAGGTTGGAAAATTCAATTCTTAATTGAGATTATAAGAAAATTGCCTAGCTATATATTTAATTCCATATGGGAAGATGCGAGAGAAATTATGAAAATATATTTAATTTTGATTATTTATGCTTATTTTGATGGGGGAGATAAATTTTATAAAAACACTAGATATATGCATGAATATTGATTAGCAATGAAGATACTAGAGTATAAGCAACTTCTGTTCCAAAAAAAAAAAAAAAGTAAAAGCAATTGGCCAAAAATATGTTTACCTAGTTCACATTGCAGGGAGGCACAAATTTCTTAATGGGAATTGTTAAGTGAATGGTTGGATATCAATTTAAAATTATGTTTAATGAAAAAATGTGTTTTAATGTAATAAAAGAATTTTTTTTAATATAATTTATTTTTCAATCTCATTTGAATAAAATTCAACCATTGAATTCGATTCTCAAACATACCCTACATCTTTCTAAAATAGACATTGAAAAGTCGAAACCTTAAAATAAACACAAACTAAGTAGAAATTATCATTTCATATTGCTGCAACTGCGACTTAGAAGGAAGCGTGAAAAGGCAAGTAAAGCCTGCTTTCTCAATTTTTCCATTTTTGGACGGAAAATAGGAGAAAATTATTGTATAATAAAAATATCAAATTATCTATACTTTTATATACCTTTTCTCTATTTTGAATATATATATAAAAGTTACTTCATATAATTCTTCTTACTCAATTACTCATTGTATACATTAAATTTTAACAATTCAAGTATTAAATTAAAAGTTTTTATTGAATAGATTAAATATAATTTTTTTTGTAAAGTTTAATTTAAAATTATTTAATATTTTTTTATATAAATTTAAAATTAACATATATTTATAAAAATATACTATACAATAATTTGAATTTATGTAAACATACTATTTAAATAACTATTATAAAATTTAATAAATTTATCACGATGATTAGATAATAATAGAAAATTTTTGTACATTATAGCTTTGTGAGTACATGTTATATACTCATAACAAAATTAGAAAAGAAAAAAGAAAAAAAGGAGAATACGTATACCGTGTAACAGCCTGAAATAAATGGCGAGTAATTGAAATCCGGCGAATCATTTATTTACTTTAAGATCGGTAAACTTGCTACGATTATAATAATAAAGTAAGTCTGTCTCATTGTCTCGTTCCGATTCTTTAAACCCTTGGAACCCCAAATTCTAAAAGCTAATTTGCATGCGTTTGTTGTTTATTTATTAAGATGGTTTAGGCTTTAGTTGACTACGTGTAGATATTTCGGTTTGATAATCCCAGTGCTTAACAGAGTAGCATAAGGACACAATCTATTAAAAGAGAGGGACATCTTTGCATAAAGTCACATTTCATTGTCCACATGCTCAACACATATATTTTATTATTATAAAATAAATAGAGATTCAGTAGCTTCTTGCATGGAGCAATGGCCAGTTGGTGACTACAGTCAATTGATTATTCACAAATAAGTCCAAAAGCAATATAGAAAAGCAAAATTTATTGTCATTGCCACATTTCCAACGTCAATCAGAAATTGGTTTTTTTTCACTTTTTACTGTTTAATAGGTATCTATCCGTACATTTCATAATATAGTAAGCTATGCAGATACCTGCCACTAAGTGTCAGATCCCAAGCACAGTGTTCGCCAAATATGACATTATTTTTCGTGTACAAAATCACACATATAGTAAGAGCTAGTCTATTATACTGGGCCCTTCATGTGTTACAAGTACCACATGGATTTTCTACCATTCGGGAAGGGTAAGTTTTTGTCTCAAAAAGCAAATTGTACACATGCGCCCCAGCCTCTTGGATGTTCATCATGCATATTTTCTACTGTGTCCTTGCATTTCGCATTTCACTTTCACGCCGCACATACATTTAATATTTATTAAGTGTTACTACATAGGTAAAATTTGCATTTCAAAAAGAAAGTCCAGAGAGAACATCAATGTGATTCCTATGCCTGCAGGGTATTTAACCACTAAAGAGAATATTCTACATAAATAACCAGCAGTTTTCTTTTTTTCTCTAAGCATAATTGTTTTTTGTTGTCATTACACTCTAGTCGGTGCTTACCGGTGGTTCCTCTTTATGAAACATGAATCTGTCTAACTCCAAGAGTGGTGTTTAATCCTTTAGTTACATATCTCCGTATATGGCTATGCTTTCTGGCCTCCTCATTTATTTATCAACTAAAAAAGTGGAAGAAGCCAAAACAACCCTTGAATGATATAAAGAAGCAGAAATTAATTTACTAATGTGGTGCACGAGTGCATCGTTGTTGGTGATTGTGACAAATTGCTGTTCAGTAAAAACTTTTTAAAAAGACAGCCGAAGAAATTGGTTCGTTGTTTGTTCCAAAATCCAAAACACACTATGAACCATTAACGGGAACAAAAGACTAATCATTAAAGCATTATTAGTTAGTGACTGCACCAAATTAAAATTAAGTTTTAACTTGAAAGGACAGCTCTCACTGTATGGGAGCATGGTAACTCTTTCACACACTCTCATTCTACGGTCTACACTAATGGATACTTTAGTACACAACTGGCAGTGTTGATTCATTGGCATAAAGATAAAATAAGAAGGCGAAAGGAGTGAGCAAAGGGACAAGCAGTTTAGAATTCTAGTGTGATTAGTTTGTTTCTCTCTCTCTCTCTTTTTCTGCTCTTTTTGTTTGTCAGCGAATTGTTTTTTTTTTTTTCTCCACCCTCTAGTGTTCCTCCTCTTCTACTTAAACTGAGAAGAACCGCATCAAGAAACACAAGGAGAGAAAAAAAAGAGAGCAAATAGGTACTTTATTTACAACTCTCACTTGATCACAATACAAGAGTACCAGTCACTCAAAGAAAGAAGGGTTAAATGGATATATCAAGTTCACAATACAATAGTGCTAGTGAGTCTGGTTGGACACATTACTTGGACCAATCCTCTCTTTCTGGAAGTTATTTCCAGAGTAGAGGTGGGATAGTAGACTATGAAGGCAAGGGAGTAACAATGGAGGAGGAGGAGGAAGATTTGTCTATGATCTCTGATGCTTCATCTGGTCCTCCACATTATCATGAAGATGATGATCAACACTATTGTGTAAATTGGTATCCTTCTACTACTCACAACACCAAAGAATCAGAAAAGAAGAAGAAGGTCAAAGAATATGGTGACAATCAACATCCTTCACCTCTTGATGACACTGCCAGTTCCCCTGTTCTTAACTGTCCCAAGGTAAATGTAATTGTAATTTTAATGTCATTGTGTATATAATTTCTCCTTAGCAGCAATTTCTCTGAGGGGTTAATGTTAATCAGTTCTTTTTTAATTGAATAGAAGAAAGCCAGCTTCTCAGGGAATGGAGCAGTGGAGAATGTACCAGATTTTTCCCCATGTTTCTCGGCAACAAAAATTAAGGTACACCTCTAGTTTGATTATTAATATTTCTATCCCATAGTGTTTATTGCCAGGTTGAGCTAAACTTGTCAATCTATGCAGAGAAAGTCTAAATTCAAGAAGCACTTTAGTTTCTTTGAGCGTTCTCTTGGTGGAAAACAAGCTTCAGAGGAACCAGGTGATCCATTGTTTTGTACATTATGTTTTTATGTTGTGTTCTGCCTATACAAGCTAACAGGTGTCTCATTTGTTGCATCATTTATTCATTTTTCTCCTGATTAGGTGGTTTCGATGAAGAAAGAAGGAAATGAAAATTTTAGGTGTGGCTTTTGCTTCTGCTGCTAAAGAAAGACTAGGGGTAGAGGGTGTGAAATTAGATGATGCTGTTAAATGACAAAGAGAACTTCCTTTGATTTTTTTTTTTTAGATATAGGAAAAAAAAAAGAAGGAAAATCTCTTTTGGTGTAATTTTTCTCTTTTTTTAATGTGCTACTCTGCCACTGCCAATGCAGTTTGGAACGACATAAGAGAATATAAGAAACTGAACAGGGTGTCCGATTCCATTTTCTTTGTTTCATCAGTGACAACATGTCTGGATATGGTGACAATTTGTTTTATTTCTCTGGCCTCGAGAACACAAGCACTAAGTTGCTAAAAAACTAACCAGTAGTTCACATTTCACACATCACAGTGGGAACTATGCTCCTTCCTCTATATCATAACAGTTTAGGGTGAATCCATAGAAAAATTATTACATAGTATAACATCACACCATGGTTCATGGTTCTGGTCAATTTTGTGACACATAATAGAGTATTACTATTTTTTTCTCATAAATTGAAAAATATTCCTAATCCTACGTTGGCATGAAAATTGGTGGGACTATGGATGTGTAGTCTTTGTTTTTGTCCTAACATGGTAATTTTTTAACTAACTTAATTATAAACTAATTTTACTCATAATACCGTAATTTTTAATAGTCTGATAAGTTTTTGCATGTGATAAGAATCAAATTCAATTTTTTTTTAACTAAATAGACTGTCCTCATAAGTATTAAATGTCTAACATCTATGAACATGTGGAAATTCCTTGATATATATATCATAAATTCATTCAAGATTATGAGGAAATTAAAGCACAAGCAAACAAGGCTAATATTATTTGACAAAAGCTATTCCATACATACAAATATGAGAACCAAATCTTAAGCACATCCTTAACAAATAAGTATGGATAGATGTCAACATAGCACAGCATACCATACAATGGTGGTTTATTTAGATAACTAATGTCCAAGGAATTGTACCAACAGAAACAGTATATGAGGCAGAAGAGAGAGAGGGGAAGTTTTAGTCACTGCTCATAACGACGAAGCATATAATATGCGAAAGGAAAAGGCTTAGCAAGGAGTGGTGACCCACTTTATTAAGTTCAGCTATTGCCAGCCTAGCTCTCAACAATTTTGGGTGGGTTAATATGGTAACCTAAGCTTCTTGACACCAAAAATAGACAAGTATCCAAATGAAACCAACAGTCAAGCTGCATTTTCTGCCAAAGTATGCACCCCACCACCATCTGATAGCTACCCACCTAAAATGTGATCCATATACAACACTGGTACAATTATTGAATTTGTTTTGATAGAATATCCAACAAAATCTTTTAGTGTTATATATCCTCCT